CAAACAGCCAAAAATATGGATTTATTTCCTAAAATAAGTTTTGAATTGAACTATGAATGGTCATCAGAGGAAGATGAGAGAGAGGAGAAGCTGAATCCATCTGAGCACACATCCAGGTTTGTCAGTGTTTCATCAGCGGAGCTCAATGACTTGGAGAAAAGCAACATACTGTCAGATCAGAAGGCAGAGTCGGCTGTGCCTGTGAAGCGACAGTCCACCATGCAGTCACCAGAGACTTATTTCACCGGCTGCACAATTAATGGATGCAGATAAATGTGTATAAAGAGTAAGTGCCTGGCGCATCATGTCTGCGTTACATAGCAACGGTGACAGCGGAGTCCTGAGAGAACTATTTTTGTTGGCGGAAGACAAATAAAATGCTTAAATTATCTATTTTGTCCTCATTTTTCAACATTTCTTAATCAGCCTTGCTTATTTAACTGTTGTATAAAAGCAATATCACACTCGAGCTCGTGATGTTGTACTGTGATATTGTCACGGCTGTGATTCGGTCGTAGGCACGAGGCCACAGGCCGATATCACAGTACAACATCACTCCCTCTCGTGTGATATTGCTTAAATGTCAGTTTTTAAAAACACTGTCTCCTCACAGAACAGTGTTGTTGACAGGAACATAGTTTGTAGACTTTTTCAGCGTGTCAAGGAGAGGAAAAGTCCAGGCCCGGGTGGCATTGGAGGTCGGGTCCTCAAGAACTGTGCTGTCCAGCTGGCAGATATTTTTAGTTTTATTTTTTCAGCATTCCTCCAGCTTCACAAGGTCCCTTCACTCTGGAAGAATTCTATTATAGTTCCAGTACCCAAATCTGCATCTCCAAAATCACTAAATGACTTCAGACCTGTTGCACTGACCTCCCTTGTTATGAAGTCATTTGAAAAAATTGTGAAGGAATCACTTCTGACCTGTGTCCAAAATAACTTGGACCCACTGCAGTTTGTCTACAGGTCAAGCAGAGGTGTTGAAGATGCAGTTGGCACCCTGTTGAACTTTGTTCTAACTCATCTTGAGGGAGCCAAGTCTTTCGCTCGTCTTTTATTTATTGATTTCTCGTCCGCTTTTGATTGCATTCAGCCACACATTTTAGCAGAGAGACTAAGGGACTCCCATAACATTGATCCTGGTCTTATAGCCTGGGTTATTGACTTTTTAACAGTGAGACCACAACGTGTTAGGGTTAATGGTGTTCTGTCAGACACTCTTGTCTCTTCCACTGGATCAGCAGCTAGTTGTAAAGATGGCTTGGTCTTCCTCATAGCCTGTGCAGCTCCGCTCTGTACGGCACAAGCAACACCCTGCAACTTCCAATCAGTGGCCTCACGGAAGAGTTCATGGTGTCAAGGACATATGAAGTTCTGCAGTACAGGGAATCCAGGGATCCAAAGATGGCATCAGCTGGCATCCGGGTGTGTACAGGCAGGAAGTGGAGCACAGAAAAATCTCTCGAGGTGGCAGAGTCAAGAATCCACCAGCGCAGAGGGCGCAACCAGGGTTAACAACGCTCAAGGCAAAGAACAGCAACACCTTGCTGAGGAGGAAGTTTGGGCACCCATGGGGGAAGTACGAGCCAGCAGGAATCTGGGAATGGGACATCAAGGAGCTTGGACTTAAAGGGATAGTTCAACATTTTGGCAAATTCGCCTATTGCCGTAATCCCTATAGTCATATGGGTGGGTACATTACCTTTAATTGTCAGTGCGTGCTGTTCTGAGATCGGTGGGACAGAGCTGCCCATTGAAATGGAGGTGAATGGTACAGGTCCCTCTCTCCCTCAAAACTAATCAAATACACCATCAAATGACTCCAAAACGCTCTTGTTGACAACACATGGCTTGCGCATTCCCCACGCTATGAAATAATAATGTATAATTAAGTAATATTACAACACATGAAGCAAATACTCCAAACTACTTTCTTAAGTAGCCATTTGCGGTATCGTCAGCTGGACACAGCAGAATGTTTGAGGAAAGTTTACAAGTGTTTTTTGTAAATCATGGGTTACACATGTATTGTAAAAGGTTGCAGTAACAAGCCAAAGACATGGAGCAAAGTGAAGTTTCACGTAGTTCCAACCAGTAATACGGACAGGATGAAACAATGGCTATTTGTGCTGGACATCGACCCCAACACGCCTGTGGAAATGGTCCGGAAAATGTTTGTGTGCTCCTGCCATTTTTTACCAGAGGACTAACGTTAAAAGAAAGGATGAAGCGCAGAAGCTCAGGAATGGTTCAAACGCTTTTCTTGGAAGATACTGTCATACCATCTGTCAGCATCACTAAACGAGCAGACGTGGTAAGTGATCGTTGTGTATTTTGCTCACCAATCCCTCTGCTGTAACGTTACCTCCATGTTGAGTAACATTAGCCTACAAACCAAGCATGGTAAATAAGGCTGAAATGCAAATGTTGTGGGGTTATGTTATGGATAAGTGCTTGCCCAGAGCATATAGTGAAGTGACTGGCATTACTTCTCATTGTTGGGAATAAACAGACTGCTAGGGAACATTTTATGTTGTTGTTCCTTCAGAGTTGTGGTGATTTAGGAGTGTGGAGTTAGCATGTTCTCCCCGTGTTCCAGTGATTATTTTGAGGCGTACTCTATATTTATATTGCACAGGTGTACCTATTAAAGCGGCCAGTAAGCCCCACATTTACACCACCGGCTCTGGGTCTCCCCTCAGCCCCTGGTTGCTCGGCAGCCTCAACCTCTCTTCTTGCACTCTCTTCTTCCAAAACCTGTAACTCTTCCTCTGTATATTCTGGCTTCTTCTCAACAAACTTGTTGTTTTGATGACGGGAGTAACTGCACTAAACATATGCTGTTTGAAATCACTCCGCCCAGCAAGTACTGTATGTCTGGAATGTAGTTCCGGCTCTGCATTTGGCTTCAAAACAACTCTGTCTCGTATTATTACATTATTATTTCATAGCGTGGTGAATGTGTAAGCTACAAGTTGTCCACAAGAGTGTTTTGGAGTCATTTGATGGTGTATTTGATTAGTTTTGAGGGAGAGAGGGACCTGTACCGTTCACCTCTATTTCAGCAGGCAGCTCTGCCCCACCGATCAATCCCTTTAATGGGAAAATGTGCTGCAACAGAAGATCACCTGGCCCAACATATGAAAGCAGACTTCCATCGCACCAGATTTTTAGTCCAAGCTATTTATGTCCTGCCAAGTCCTGCAAACCTCCACACCTGGGCGAGGGTGTCTGATTTGTTGAAAGACCCAAAATACCCAATGACCTCAGGTCAAATCACTGATGATGTGTCCCAGCACATCCGTAGGATGTATCTTTCATCTTCATATCGTCAAGAAGAACGTCATTGCAAAAATACCCTGAAATATTGTGATATTATTTTAGGGCCATATCGCCCACCGGGGGGGGGGATTTGGGATGCCACAGTTTATTACACACTACTAAAGCAGCTCCTCTTTTTGGAACAATCACAGAGTCGCTAATAATTTCACTTTCAGCCAACCATGATGTGGGTAACAGTATGACCACTAGGTGCTACAGAGCACTGTTCGCCAAAACTTCCAGTCACAGCTGTCGCTCTATTTAACTCCTAACAGTCACAGAGTGGCAGGACAAACAAAACTTGCACACTTGTATATTGTATATTCTTTTATATTTGATGTATATTTGTATATTTTTTGTATATCATCTACCGGAGTAAAATTCCTTGTATGTACACACGTACTTGGCAAATACAGCTGATTCTGATTCTGAAATATCGCAAATATCAGGATATGAATTTTTCATATACTAAAAAATTTACTGGTTTAATGCATTTTGGCGGCTCATATTACACACTCCAATTTAAGCAGAGACTACAAGACCAATCATGAGCATCTGCTATCATAAAAGTCACTCATATTTAACTACTTGATACGTGGACCCTGAGTTTTGCAACATTTTGTGTGTGACTTATTATCTGCTTTAGTGCTCCAAAAAGTAGGAGAAGCTTTAGTCCAATAAAAGCTGTAACCAGCTCAAAGAATTACAGCTCAAAGAATTATTTTAGAATGTTGCCGAGGCACGACAGAGCCATTTCATTACCTGAAAATAATCTGTGCAGTCTGGCCAAAGGTGTTGAATGTCTGTAAAACATATAAATACAGGTATCCCTGAAAGCATATTTGAACCAGTGAATGATAAAGGATACATTTCTTCAAAGTAGTCAATGTGTGGAGGCTGCAGTATGTCCAGAGCAGACAGCACCTATGGAGAGAGTTAAAGCAAAGGTATGTTATTAACAGGTTGATACCAGCTGAAAGACAGAGACAGCTGAGGACATCTGTAGTCTATTTTTCAGTAGCCTTGCTATCTAGGCTAGCATTGCTAACTGCTAACTGTGAGAATGTAATCAGTGTCAGTGGAAAAGCTTACTACTAGTGCTGCTAGTGTAGTGGCCTGAGGGACTCTCGTGAAGTGAATCTACTTATTTTTCCTTTGCCAAGGAAGGGCTTGTCTGTAGCTTTTTGATGGGTAGCTTTCATTCACACATTCACAGTTGGTTCAGGATTTAGACCTCATAATACAGGGGTGACAAACATGTGGCCCATGGGCCAGAACCAGTCTGCCAAAGCGTCCAATCTGGCCCACTTTGACTTTGCACACCTAATAATGAGTCACTTGTGGAGGCAAAGAAATGTCAGGAGGAAGTTAAAAACTGAGTAGCCTACTTCGTGTAAAATTCTGCTTCAGATGCTTTTCCACCCTGACCAGAATACAGCTCTCTGAAAAAACAATGAATACTTACTGTGCTCATATTTAAAGATATCAAACATTTTGCAAAATATTCTCAGTTTGCTTCAGCTTCAGTACAAGAGAATCTGTATCAAACTTCTGGTAACACTTTATATGAAGGTACACATTAGGGGTATCACAATGTACCGGTACTGACAATAACTGAGATATTTCAAAATGAAATAATGGTATCATATTAGTAATACATAACAAGTTTGGAAATGAACTCCTTTCGTTTTCCTGCCACTGTGACTGGTGGATTCCAAAACCTCACAGCCAATCAATAGATTACCATTGTTTTTTTGGCTGGTGATTGAAGCAAATCTTGCAGCCACTTGCATATTCTACCAGCATTTGGCTGGTGACTGGTGCTAATTTCCAACCCTGACGTGAAAATATTGTGTAAATAATGCAGGGCCTCTTAAATCACTTCTGTTTCTTTCTGTTCCTTTCTGTTCTCAGTTTGTCTCCCTCCACCAACACCATCTGGTTGCCTTTTCACCATCCATTAAGTCTAACTGTTCTTTTTGTACCATCTTGTACAGATAAGCCCTGTTTCCATCAAGCAGTATGGTAGAGTACGGTTCAGTTCGGTATGCTTTTTTTGTTTGTTTGTTTCCACTGAGAAAAGTTGTGGATAGTACCGATGGAGTCGTTCCTAACCATTACCATTTTTGGTACCCCTTCTGTTGGGGTACTTAGTACACTGATCAAAAGGTACCATACCGAAAATGTTTGGTGGAAACGCGGCTTTAGGGTTCCAGTCTCTCTCTCCACGTCCCTACACTCGCAATTAGCGTCTAATTCATTTACCAGAAAAATGACAAAGGAGACTATTATGGCCACAATAATCATGTAGTGAAAATCTGTTATTTTTCCAGCCCTGTACACACTGTCACCATTAACCAGTGGGTTTTTAACAGGGCATATTAGTAACATATTTGCTCTCTATTAATCATTATAAAGCATTAATCAATGCTTTATTCTGCATGACCATATTTTACAACTATGAAGCCATTAAGTTTTCCCTCAACAACCTCCTAATTACAGCTAAATGATATGAAGTAAGGAAGCTGTTGTACGTGAATCACACTCTTAATACGCTCTAGCCAGTATGGCCCCTATAGGGTGGCAGCACCACAAGAGTAGTCTTTCTCCCTTAATAACACTTAAATAATATGGTCTATTCTTATGTAACAAAACGCCAAACCACGAATTTTAATAGTGTCCAAAAAAGCAAGTCAGAGCATGTTCCCCATTCTTTGTGAGGTCTCATGCTTAAGTGATTCACTATTAGCTAAGATACACTTATTAACCCACACAAGTTTCCAGTTCTAAAGTGTCCTTCTCTTCACTCTTAATGAATCCATTTTAGCACACAACTACTGTAGCTAACAGACCCCCTCAGACCACGTCAGTGATAGGGATGGGCATGAGCACTTGTTTCTATGTGAGTATTTGTTCAATGTATAAAGTACTTGATGCTGCCCCTCCCATGTGTGAACACATTTAGAAATTTTATTTTCTAGATTTTTAATGTATCTTTTTAAATTCTATTCTATTTTATTGTAGAGCTGAATGCAGTGTTTGCCTCACTCAACACCTGCTCGCCCTGCTGTCCCTCTATCTCTCTGTTTATGCCTGGATGCTCAATAAATGAATTTCAAATTGCACTTGTTTTCTGTTGTTGCACATTCCTATCCTCATGTTAAAATGCCCATCCCTAGTTAGAGAGAACTGATTACATGTGTATCGCATACATGACATACGCTTACTGCTAACGTCCTTAACCCTATGCTAGCTTGAATAAAGATAACATCATTTAATCAAGCAGCTTTTCTAGATCTCCAAATGTTATTGGACGAAACTGATCAAATTCTCAAAGTGAAAGGAGTCATTTCGCTCAAATCACTTTATCCACCATTTTACAGACCCTATGATGTAAGCACAAGTTGAACAAACTTGGTTATGATTGGCCTGTGAGTCCAGTCCTGAAAGACGCATTGGAGCGCACTCTCATGTGCACCCTGAGCAAGCAAGAAAAGAGACTTTTAAATCAGTGTTCCTAATTCTGTTTCTAACAAATCCCAGGACCCACAGTTTATTTTTTGATCACCCACTCCCACCCACAGCAAATTTACAAACCACCCACTCCCACGAGAACTGTGTTGGGTTCCGCAGGATCCCAATCCCAAAGCACTCCTCTACTATGCATCTCAATAGACAATCATTCAGAAAGCATGGCAGAAAGTGAGGCAGAATTTGCAAATGAATTTAAGTAATTCTGCTTAAGTTTTGATTAAGATAAAGAGAATAATCCCGCTCATGTTGTTAACATTCTGTACCGATGTAGTCAGATAGAACTGATGTTCCTGTTGAACAGGTGAGGAGCATTTTTAAACATTTAAATCAGAGGAAGGCCACAGGGCCAGAAAACCTCAGTGCACTTATTTGGAAAACATTTGTTGCCTGTGGCCTAACTTTCAGTGTTCTATAGAAAGTCACATCATTCTTGAAATATGGAATACCTCACATGTAATACCTTTTCCAAAGAAGGCATGTCCTAAGGAACTCAGTGATTATTATCCTGTGGCCTTGACTCCAATTGTTATGAAAACCTTAGAAAGAATTGTGATTCAGCAGCTCACTAAATCTGTGGGTGGCAAACTGGACTCTTGTCAGTTTGCATATACGTAAGTATAATCGTAGCACAGGGGATGCAGTTGTAACACTGATACACCTAATATTGAAGCAACTACAGCTCAGGCTCTCTTCTTAGATTTTACATCAGCATTTAACAGAATTCAGCCAGAGCTTTTATTGGGAAAGATGATTCAATCAGAGGTTAATCACACCTGATTCAATGGTACTGTTCATTTCTTACAAATACAGTACAGATAGTTCAAGTTAATCAGATGCCTCTACTGTCTGATGTTATTTGTAGCGTTTGCAGTTTTGAGTTTTTGTTTTTTGTTTTTTTCCTGAAAATAAAGTGAAAAAAGTAAACAGACCTAGATTTGTTTGCAGTGTGTAACCCATCACTTGAGAACAGGGTCTGTTACTGCAGTAGTTGTGTGCTATGATGGATTCACTAAGAGTGAAGAGAAGGCAAGTTTAAAACAGGGAATAAGTGTCAAACTACTAGTGAATCAGTTGTGATTGAGACCTCACTTAAAGTGGGGAACATTTTCTGAGTTAGAAAGAGTTGCTTTTGAGTTAACTGGACACTATTAATAATTGCAGTTTTGTATTTTGTTACACAAAAACAGACCATATTCATAGAGTTATTCAAGGGATACTTTGCTGATTTTCAACCAGCTCTTTATCATAACAGTGCGGGTAGTATGTGTACATAAACTGTGGTAAACTTCTCTCCATCTTACCAGCTCACAGATCTCCCTATCTTTCAGCTCAAATAAGACGGATGCTTGACTACAGACTGCACTTCCACATTTTCAGATGCTTGCCACCATGGACACCAACAATATAGAAGCAGATCTAAAGAGAGTGCCATCTCTCTCTCTCTCTCTCTCTCTCTCTCTCTCTCCCTCCCTCTCTATCAGAGCAGAGTCAGGCTGCTGGTGCAGAGCTCAGACAGCTGTATGGAGTGGCGAGGGTAGCAGGTGAGGAAGAGATGGAGTATGACACTGACTCTGACTGTGTTTCTGTGGCAGACTCTCAGTCTCAGAGCTACATACACTGGAGGAGATCAATGAGTTCCTCAATGAAACTTTTGGCAAATCAGTTAAAGTGTTTTGAGTATTTTCCTGATGCAGAGAAGTTCATTAAAAGGTGACTTTGCAGACGGTGGTTGGTGTGGATTTGCTGATCCACAGCAACGAGAAAAATGTTTCTGTCTAAAAAAAAAAAACCTGTAACAACTCTGAGAAAGATGAAAGGCTAGCAGAGGGAAAAATGCAGGCTAAGACTTAAAGAAGCAACAGACAGCATTTTTGCCTATATATATTATTATGAAAATAATGTGGGTTGCACAGGGTAGTAATACACAGTAAAATCAGACTATCAGCGTTTACATAGGTTACTTGGTGGCTTTGCAATCTTTGCAATAAGCTTCTGCCACCGGGGACGAATTTTCGTGGAAAAAATGTGCTTTACGGCAGGAAATGCGTCATGTATTGCCAAACTGGTCGGTCAGCCAATCAGGGACTGGAGCTGGTCCTTATGAGGAACTGGCTGGGGCATGAGATAGTTGAGTCAGGAGCACAATGGCAGACGGACAAAGTTTGGAGATAAGTGAAAAATGGCCTCCCAAAAGAAAATGAGCTGATCTGTCTGAGGAGGCGAGGATGCACAAAAAAGGAGAGTGATAAAAGAAGAGGAAAAACAAGAGTAAACCTCAGTCAGGCGTTCAAGAGATGGAGGGAGCTCCGTGACCAAAGAGGCTTCAACACTGGTGTCCAGCTAGCTTTCTTTCTAATGGATCAGTAAGTAACACGGCTAAATGTTGGCTA